AGATGTTTAGATAAAAATGTTAGGATACAAGGGCCCCTCCTCCTCATGAATCCCAATTTAACCACTGGATACATGCAGCTAATCACTAGTCACAAGGACAAACGGTTAACTTTCTTTATCTAATGTTGACCTCAATCCTCAGTTTTGTATATAAAGTCACGCCCTACGTTGAAGCCCATGGATCAAACTGAAATGCTAAGGACTTTGTTTTATATGTTGGCAACCAGCTTCGTAAAACAGCCTAACAAGTAACAATAGAACGTGTCTGTGTTGATAAAACATGCATAAATAACGAAATGTTATAGTTTCTTACCTTTACCACTGCAGAAAACACATGAAGCTGTGTTTGCCTTAATTAATCTCCCAAATATATAGTTTTTTCAAATCAAAGTTTGGTTTGTCTGGGCGTAACAATAAAATGCTGTCCGCTATCAGCCAACGGTATAAAACAAAAACAGCTGAATTCTTCTTCTACGTTCCTGCTTTTACTTCTTCTTCTTGGGTCATAGACAAACTCAAGCTGCACATCGACACCTACAGCAGAGGAGTGGAAATAGCTGAACTAAATATAAACATCACATCTTAAGTTTAAATCTGTTCTGCACCAAAACTCAATTCCTTCTTTCCCAGGATGTTTTAATACAAACAATATTTCACTAGAAAGCATTATGGCGCATGTAAAGTGTGTACATCAAAAAAAAAAAATGTTAAAATGATAACAAACACTTATAGTGCCCATGGCATGCTTTTCCTTGTTTTCTGACTTATCTACAATGTTACAATGGTGAATTAGCGCCTAAAACATAACCTAAATATCAAAAAATGTGATGCATGTATGTTCTAGTACTTCTGTGCAGAAGCAACCTGATTTATACATCTCGCAAACTCTCACTCGTGAGACTTTTTTTAAAACAACAATATAAAGTCTTACATCATAGTTTTTAGGATTTACTTAAATGGTCATAATTTCCATGCAATTGCACGTTTATGTGAGCTTGCTTGATATCCACCGATGCTATTTTAAAAGCGGACTTTTTTGACTGCATGTGGTTTTGTGGATATGCAGTATTTTACCTCCTGCTGCTGCACTGTGTGTGTGAGGATGTGGAGAAAAATACAGGGCCTGATGTTACTGCATGTCTGGGAATGTTCCTGTACAGGGACTCACTGTTTTACCTGACCGGGTCTAACCTGCAATCAGTCAGCCTGTGGAGCCCCCGCAGCAGTGAATGATCAGCTCATCAATGCTGGATTCCCCCAGAGCACAGTACATGTTTGTTTTGACTGCTTGAGGCCAGTGTGTCTGCTGCATGTGATGTGTTGCTAGTTAACAACTAGATTAATGATCCATGATGTTATTGTCAATACTATGCTAACTGTTGGTATTAATTTCACTGCTTTGGGACTGTATGTGTTCGTGTGGGGGAAGACACAGCAACCACCAGTTGAATTTATCAACCTTGGAGCTACTTGAAAGGGAGCGATGTTTCCACTACTCAGTGGGACTTAACAGTAAGTTAAAAAAACAAAACAACAAAAAACATTAATATATTGTTTCTGTCGAGAATTGTTGTAAGGCTGGAGAAGTTACTATGTCTGCATTATGCCATCTAAAATATGAGGTTTCCAAACTACTCGCTTTGTTTAGAGTGTTACACATCTCTTTTCATAGGTACATATACCGTTGTTTACCTATCTATGGAGGAGAAATTCAAATTAATTAATGCTGTTGCGGTTCATCATGCTGTCCACTTTCATATTCTGGCTCAAACATGTCAGGTAGGATTTGAGGTTTTGTCATTGTCAAAAACGTAACTTATTTATCAGTGTTTGTTGTTTATGCACTGTCCTGGCTTCCTGACCGATGTGATGTCAAGAAGTATTCCCCCATTGAGATGGGTTTCCCCTGCCAAAACTTGGTTTCATGTAGTGCCCCCTTCATTGGTTGTGGATAATGTTAGGATTCAGGTTAGGGGAAACACAGCTCAGTGTGGAAACAGATTTCAACACAACACCAGTAACAGGAGTTGTGCATGTTCATGAACTATTTTCTTGTTTTTAGGGAGAGGCTCTCAAATTTTGTCATTCTGAAATAAATACAGCCTATTTGGAGTTATGATGGGTGCCTAATCCAGAAGTACCCAAGATTAAACAATAAATGGCTGGAAATGAGCATGCCATGGCCACTTTAATTTATAAAGGAAAAAAAAACCTTAAGTAAAAACAGCTTTGACTTATATAGTCTCCTATACAGATACTAAACAGGCTTCTAACTTTTACTTCTGTGGATGTGAAATATGTATATAAATATCCAATATATCACTCCTTCATTTGTGTTCCCTAAGTGATTTCATCTAAATAATGTTTCTTCAATGCATTATTTATATTGGTGGATAGTTTAATTTATAACAAGCAATCTTATTTTACAAGATCTTTATATCTGTCGTATGGGAATTTGTAAAACACTGGGAACTTCGGCTTTCAGATAAATGAAGTTGAGTGAAAAGTACAATATTTCACTCTGAAATGTAGTGAAGCAGAAATATAAAATGTCATAAAAAGGCTTAAGTACTTCAAAACTATATATAGGTACATGACCTGAGTGTACTTAGTTACACTCAACTATAGTCAATGCTGCCGCCACCACCTTGAGGAATTTTGCGGGATTTAGGACCCCAGGTAATCTGGGCAGTGGGCACGTGCATCTCGTAGATGGGAGCGCGCACGTCACGACACGACATTCAATCTCAGGCAGATGTAGAGGAGCAGGGCAGACCACATTATCAACTATTAGGAACAGGGTGAGTGAAAATACATGTTTATGTTATATCCATTCATTTATATATATCACCTTACAGCAACATTTGTTGTTTTGTTGCTTACAACGCTTTTAAAAATCAGTTTTGACTCGCATATACACTGAGGCTACCTATTAGCCTTACCGTTATGTGTCAACAATCCGTCAGACTAGCCGGCTAACTTAGCCGCTACACAGCAACATTATAACAGTTTTATTATCTGTAGCATTAAAGTTTTTAAAACTATGTTACCCGTTTCAGTTCCTAGTTAACTTCACAGAGACCGTCGATGAAGCAGTTTGACTATAGTTTTGGTCAGCCACAGCAAGTCTGCGCAAGTGCAGTGGTCATTTCCAGACCAGTCCGCTTATGATCCTGAATCGCCCCCGTTTTTGTGGCGTAGCACTCGTACACAATACCCTGTTGTGAACGTCATGTTGTCATTTAGATTTTAAGGCATTTAGCATTCATTTCAGTTTAACCAGGTATAGTATGTATAAACTGCCACGAGTCAGTATTACTGTGTCATGCAGTAAACAACAAAGCTTTAGTCATGCAGCTCTTTACTTCAGAGAGCTTTGGCAGACATCTTGGTCATTCACCCCGGTCACTGTGTTGCTCACACTAGTCAACCATTAGACATCTCTCCTGTGGCTTTCACTTGTCATCAGAAAGGTTTATTTGAGTTTGAATACAGATGTTGCTAGAGCAGCACTCTCTTCCCCTAGTAATCTGCACTGAATCATAAGCCAGCAGACTGGTTTGGGTGTTGAATTTATTTAGTTTATTTCTGGGAAGTCAATATCTTTCATTACCAATTGCCCAAAATGATCATTTGCATTTCTCTTTTGATTGTGTACAAAGGTTAAACCGACCCTGGTCTGCCACCTGGTGTGGAGGCTTGTAGCTCCTTGAGGAGGCCTTGCTGGGTGAAGAGGAGGCATGATGAGTGGGAAGAGCCTGCTGCTGAAGGTGATCCTGCTTGGGGACGGTGGAGTGGGCAAGTCCTCCTTAATGAACCGCTATGTTACTGACCGCTTCGACTCCCAGTCCTTTCACACCATAGGTGTGGAGTTCCTCAACCGGGACCTCGAGGTGGACGGGCGCCTGGTCACTCTTCAGATCTGGGACACAGCTGGTCAGGAGCGCTTCAAGTCACTCCGCACACCCTTCTACCGAGGTGCAGACTGCTGCCTGCTCACATTTGCTGTGAACGACCTGCAGAGCTTCCAGAACCTCAGCTGCTGGAAGAAGGAATTCATGTACTACTCAGACATTAAAGACCCTGAGCGTTTCCCTTTCGTGGTGCTTGGCAATAAAGTAGACATGGAGCAGAGAGAGGTGGGGGAGGACGAAGCACGGGCCTGGTGTGAAGAGAACGGCTGCTGTCCTTACTTTGAAACCAGTGCTAAAGATGACACTAATGTCACAGCTGCATTTGAGGCAGCTGTCAGAGAGGTTCTGGCTGCTGAAGACCAAATTGACCATGCACTACTGAGTAGCACTATTGATCTCCATGGCAACCGTAAAACCTCTCGCACATCTTGCTGCTGATTGGTCAGTTGTGAATCCAACTTTCTTACTCTGTCTGGCTGAAACTTGCCTGAGGCAGTTTTGAGAGTTAGTTAGAGATCGTTTTCGGTACACATACTGTACTGTAAGGTTCTGAGTACAGTACCCTGTAAAAGTAATATGGGTAAAATACAGTTGCTCTGAGGGGGGCAGATTCAAGGATTCAGCTGGTGTGTAGATTGAATTATTTCTCTAACCAAGGTACAGGCACACTCATCCTTTGTATTCTGCTTTCGGTAATATTGCACAAAAACATTTTTATAGAGCTTCATCTTTGTCTGCCTATGAGCAGTTTATCAAATGTTGCTTTCAAAGCATTTATTCTAATGAGAGTAATCAACAGTTTGATTAATACAGTGGAAGAAAGAATATACCAGTCTTCTATGGAGGAGCACACTCAGCCTTTGGCACAACAACATTCAGTTGGTCTTGTAGCTGCTCAACTGTTTGTCCATGATGTGATTTTTTCCAGGGTTATACAATGACTCTATATCAGATTTGTAAGCTGGAGAGCTAATGAGTTTTCTGTGTCTGTCAGTGACAGTGTCCCCAGTCCATGCAGATACTGTGATTGGAAACTCCCAATATATAAGTACGATGACTAATATGATTTGAGGTACGAGGACTTTGATTATGACCCTGTTTGTTTTCAACATGAAGGAAATTGTGAGCTTTGTAGCTCTGACTGTAAACACTGGGTACGAGCTGTTGTGGTAGTCATTTGACTATTATATCAATTATCACTGCACTTTAGTGTAGACGGGTGTTGGGTGTATGACTCAGGCATAATCAGATCACTTTCCTATGATTTATTTATTTGGCCCTATTTACTAGGTAAGGTTCAGTGGTTCTCAAAGGTCAGAAATAATATTAGTATTCTAAATAAACTGCTCTTTATTTTCTTGTGTAGCTCCTTTCCAAACTTCAGTGCATTTTCATTTTTAATAATTTTTTTCATAGACAGTCATCTGATATTTACATTGGGCTTCAGAATTTGATTAGGGGCTGATTAAAGTCTGTGTTCTTGATTTGTAGATGAGGTTATAATTAATAGAATTACCATTACTTTTCATAATCATGGAATGTTTGCAATCCTGTGTCTCTGTCATGTTGATTGCGTGGTAGGCTTGAACTTTACAGGCTTTGGTTTTCCTATTTTGAAGGTCTCCTGTGCTTTACTGATTACACATGTCCTGTCAGTCTGGTCACTCTAGGTCTCAGCTGAATGTGAAATAGCCTGAGCACTAAGATAAGGCTGTTACAGCTAATGGGTGTATTGTAGTACATCAACACTCAAGTCCATTTATATAGTACTGAGCGAGTATTCTGGGAAGTGAATGACATTTACTTGTGTGCAGCTCAGTGGTACTTTACTTTTGTGTCAGTGTTTTAACATCCCTGTTTACTTGCCACAGGTACATTTGACTTTTGTCCCCTTTGGTTTTTGCGGTACTGCTGTTGACCAGTGTTTTTTAAAACCAGTGTGAGATTTTAGAAAATAATATGCCTGATATTCAGTGTTTCACACTGAGTTTAACATGGTTTTGAAATTCATTCTCATCAGTGTTTTGATTGCTGCTTGAATAGTGTTTTATATGATGTTTGCTTAAGTAACACGTTTTCATCTTCTGAATGCACAGAGCCACCATGGTTCTCATTTTGGCCTCATGCTCATATTTTTTCGGTTATGTTGCTGAGATGACATTATTTTCCTTTCAAGTCAAAAATTGCATCATAATTCAATATGGATGCAGACATTACAAGAGCTTCACTGTGAAAGTGAACGCAATCCAGTCAGGTCCTGTTACATTATTACAGGCTTCTTTGGTTTAATGTAGGGTCATGATTACTGTTACATTTTGTAGGATCTGTTTGAGTACTGGTACTTAAAGCATAATTTATTTACTGTGAACTGAGTGAGGGCATTTTAACAAAATCAAGCTGTTAGCCTACATTAATTTGAAGCAGAAAATGAGGGGCTGTTAGCTTTACATTTGTCAGGTTTAATGTTTTCTGTATTAAACAGAATACTGTCTCCTTACTGTGCTGGTTTTGTCCTGTTTAGATAATGTAGCTTACCACAGTGTTTATCTGAAGTCTGACATACCTGAGATTCAGTGGATATTTATAATTTGGTAGCATAACGCTGGCAGGTAGTATGTTGCCCTCATGGTGCCGTCTTACATCACTGCAACCCAGTTTGTTGCCAGTAATTTTTTATGTTGCATTCGCTGTAATACATATGAATGTAAAAATACATTTTTTGTCCATAATAACGGCTTATGTAAACTGAAATAGACATTCATTGTATAATGTACAATGTCTGTTGCACAATTGTTGCTTATCCCATGAGTGTGATTTAAGCTGTTTGAAAGTTGCTGCTCATCTTGATTATATAGTGTTGATCTAATGAACAGCCTCTCCTGCTCCTCTTTTTGCACTAAAGACATAAAGGTTGTGCCAACATGCTGGCAAAGCGGCAAATATTCCTCAGTACCCATCTACGAATAAAACATGCAGCATATCAAATGAAGACATTACCTTGTCTGTGGCTTTTGTGCTGATACTTTGAAAATTTAACCATGTGGCTTTAAAGTGACTCTAAAGTTTGAAAACAAAAGCTATTTTTAAAACAAAATAGGTTACCCAGATTATTAGTAACTTAAGTTATCCACTGGTCCCCTGCCACCTCAACATCAGTTAAACAGCAATACTAAATTATGGATTTTGCGATTCCTTAGCAAAACCTTATCTAAAACACACGTCTAGCATTCTCTTTCTCTAAAATACACCTTGTCTGAATTTCATCACACAAGATCTTGAATGATGCTGAATGACCAAGTATGTATTGGAACCCAAGAGACAGTGAACACCAGTTTTCCTTTTCATTAAAAAAAGAACAAGCATGCTCTGCATTTTTATCTTCCTTTCATTAAAAAGGATATCAAGCATGCACCACAGGGTGAAATCTGACCTTGTCAGATATTTATCACCTCTACCATAATACATTTTTCTAAATATCTGAAATAAGGAAATCTATAGAAACTAAAGAATCAATGGACAAATGCAGAAAATTACAAAAAGTAAGTACAAAATATTGAATTGTTATGACTCAGTTAGAAAAAGCTGCATTTATGCCATTTTATAAGTTCAGCTGTAATAAACACCTACATTTTAATGAAAATAATGAAGGAATTCAATTTAACAAGCACTGCCAAGTTGTACCGATAAACTAGAACACTGATGGCCAGCTCATTAGTGATGGTTATCGTTGGAAGCTCCTACAGCAAAACTAGGGGCACTGTCAGGAGATGTCATATGTATCTGCAGGATATGGCGAGCACTGTGCCCCTCCGCTGTCCCTCTGCAGACTGCCAGACAGCTCACAGCCTCTCCTCTCCTCTCTTACCCTGTGTCACTGCTTCCTCAGGTACACCTGGCCCACAGCCAACTGAAGGAAACTGTGCACCTGTGGATACAAGAGGAGAGAATACAAAAGCCCTACAAGTGGCAGGAAGCCGAAGAGTGAGTGCCAGTAAAACGCTGCCACACTACATCAGACGCTTTCACAGACTTCAAACTAATGTTTTCAGAGGAACTCTGCACAAATACTCCAAAAAACATTTTTTAATATCAAATATTACCAACACAAAAAAATAATCATCAAACTGCCAGCTGCTGCTTTACAAATCCTCCATTCACAGCTGAATAAAGCTTCCACCAAAAGGAATAATCTACTTATGTCAAAACACTTTGTTAGTAATACCCAAAGTATAAAAGTAGTAGTAAATTCAGCAAAAGTAAAACAATGTTATACAATAACTACAACAAAATTTCCCAAAGAATTAGAGACAAAACAATGCTGCCCTATCTCTACAAGAGTCGTGCATTAACAGCAGGGGGTCACGCCTCAACAATAAGATTTAATCTAATAAGAGGTTACTTCGTAAGTTAGCACCTAGTGGTTTTATCATCTCAAAATTATGAGAAACAATTTCAGACCTTTCTAGATCAGAACTAAACAAGTATGGCTCTTTGTTAGAAAGAAACTATTCAAGATCATCTAAAATTCCTCCAGTCCCCTCACTCTGAATCGATCATTTCCATTATTCACGGGGAGGTAGGGGTCACGCAGCAGCGGGTGGGTGTGGTGTGTGGATGCTGTCCCAGATGGGCTGCATGAAGGCTGTAGAGAGGTCTAACCCTCTCTTTGTCCGGAGGACCCTCTCCCTTGACATGTAATATAACCCTTGGCAGAGACTCGTAGCACAGGTGGCCCCCAGAACCGGATTCTTATTGGTTAGCTTTTAAAATGGGCATAACTCCATTGTTGAGGCTTTTCTTCAGCTCGTGAGAAAAGTCCTGAGGTCAGCAGGAGACTGCAAATGCGTGCATGTCTGCCACCATGGCAACCAGATGTGAGGGAAGGTAGTCATGGTGACTTATAATCCCTATTCTCTGTTAACAGCTGCATTCTAATTGCACACGTTTTGCAAATCAGCGGTTATCTCTTGCATATGTTAATTTATTAGTGATGTGTTATCGACTGTGACAAGAAGCAGAAATTAATTTTAGGCACTAACTGCAGCAAGAGCAGTAACTGGCCAATATTTTGGTGACAAAGTAAAGAAATAAGACTTACTGCATGTAAGAGCAGCAGACAAACCTCACACATTTAAAAAAAAACAAAAAAAAACAAGAAGGAATTACAAAATAGCATCTTTACAATGACAAAAGTAAAAATATAAAAAGATCTTTTGAAAGTCCGTGACCAGAGGAGGTCCTACATGTGCAGATGATGTGAAAGAAAAGAACCTTTGTCATCCCTTTAGGTCTCCTTTAGGTTGGTGAGCAGTGACAGAGCAGACACGAAGCTGGTAAGCCTAACACCTTGCACTTATCCCCTTTCTCCCCAGATACCGCAGGACTGCAAAGTTATAGGTGGTTGACACAGTATAGGTCAGCTACAGAAGAAGAAGCAGAGACAGAAGTGTCAGAACAAAAGGGAAGAGAAATCCACAACATCCCGATAGCCTACAAACCAGAAAAAAAAAAAAGGATTAACTGCTAATAGCATTCATTTGATAGTAGATACCATCCCTGTAACAGCTTCTGTAATGGAGCATGCCAGTATAATGGGTGCATCATTTGCTTGACTGGAAAACCACCAGACATTACAACATTATGATGATGTTTGTGTCAGCTGACAAAGAGGAACAGAGAGCAATAGAACAAAGGTCATCAATCATGGAGGCCTGAGATTCCTTCCCACCTACTGTACACTCTGAGCGTCACAAAGTCACATGAGTTATATCCCTACTGCTATACCCCACTGTGGCAGCACAGCACAAACTGGCCCTGGCCGAAGCACAATCACTCACCAGAGCCAAGACAGTGATGCCCGCACCAGCGAAGGCAGCAATGTAGAGGTCATAGGTCATTCGGTACTGGAAGGAAGAGGTGGTGGCGTTAGTGGTGACAACATATCTATTTTATTTTATGTCAGGCCAGTTGTAGAACAGTGATTGCAGAGCTTGAATTATTTTCCTGGACCTTACCTCTCTGGTCTTACAAACAGTGGACAAAGTCGTGCCACAAGCTTTCCCCGGTACTGCATGCCATGGCAGAAGACCTGTTAAAAGTATGTCATCAATTCCATCTATTGGTTCCAAAGACATTTAAAGGATAACACTGTCACATTCTATATTTTTCTTATTGTCCACAAATGCCATAAAATAAAATACTACTACATCAGTCCATTACTTTGACTTCCCTGCCTTATCTGTGGCTCTCAGCCCAGAGTCCATTGTTTCCCGCTGAAGATGCAAATCTTTAAAAACTGGCCACAGATACCTTTATTTATTTATTTATTTAAAGGCTGAATAATTTCCTAAAATAGCTGGGCATTATAGTTTTTAGCAAACACTACCACACCATTAGTGCATTTGATTGCGTCTACATTCAGCAGTGGATTAATAAACATTTGGCACCAGAGTCAAATTCCTTGTGTGTCTGACACACCTGGCCGATAAAGCTGGTTCTGATAAGATGGTGAGTATTTATCAAGCAACAACCTCTGAGGCTGAGGAATAAAGCCAATGCGGAAGTGTTAAAATGTGCAGTTCCTCGAATGGCCACTTGAGGCTGGCTCCAAAAGGAATTTTTTATAACTCACCTGTTTAAATTATAATTAAGCTAAAAGTTGTACATAATTAAGGGCATGACCACTTTGGGAGGGTCCCACCACAGGCAGCTAGCTAGCCGTCTAGCCAGCTCCATGCACACTCCACCTCTCTGCCCGTTTTGTGTGTAGCCACAGCAGGCGGAGTGAAGCACTGTCAATATGGCTTGAGCTTCAAAGCCACTCTTCAAAAAACTAGTGGGTGATGTCACAGTGGGTTTGTCCAGCTTTTATATAATGTTATTTATAGTAGCAGGAGGGTGTATGTAGGATTGACTTAACAACAGTTCCCATGTCCATGTGCCCAGTGAAACTGTGTACTCATTGATATGTTTTAAGTAGTTACTGGACAACAATGACGATCTTTGGCTCATAAGATAGATCAGCCTTTGGCAACACAGACAATACTTTGTAGAAGAATCAATTCCTTGTTAGTCTTTGTCTTTGGTTTGTTGACAATAAGAATAATATAGAATATCACCAGACTTGTCCTTTCACTGAATACAAGTGGTGTGAGAAGGCAGCCATAAGCAGGTTTCTTGTTACCATATTGCCTTGCATCAACACAGAGCTGGTTGATACTTGCTGGGGTCTCAGTCAGAACATCAATGGTGTGACAGGTGGCATCCATGTTGTAGAAGACGTAAACAGGGAGGGCAGAGAAGGCAAACACCAACAGCCACAGCACAGCGAGTACATATGTCATCACAATAAACTGTACAAGGAGAAAACCGAATAAACATTAGTGGGCATCGTTATAGTAAACTAAAGCACTGAGCAATCTAAGGGAGTGCTTTTATGAGCAGTGACTCACTTTGTAACTACATTTTCTTTTTTATTATTAGCATTACTTATCATCTCACTCTCAGTTCTCCTCCTCTTCCAACCACTCAGTCACCCCGAACTGCTCAAACACACTTATCTTTGCATGCTCCCAAAGGTTTTAAGCAACCTTAAGATTTTCAGCTCAGCACCCACCAGGGAGTGATATGTGTATTAATCCCATCCAATCTCTCCAATCCCCTTTACTTGTCCCACTCTGGGCGCTCTCACCGAGGAACTGAGGCAGCGGCCACACATGGTGCTCCTGAACTCTCCAAACGTTTGCTTGGCAGCACTTGTGGTATAGAAGCCTTCAGCCAACAGTGCGATGCAGTAGAGGAAGAAAAAGGAAGCCAAACCGTAGATGACATACTGGAAATATTGAATGCTGAAAATGAGAAGTAACCGGAAAAGAGAATTGAAAAATATTGCGTTACACAGAACTTAAATCTTCAAAATAGACACTAGAACCTGAGAAACCCAACGGGAAGATTGGAAGGATGCAAGTCTAACGATGGAAATGCAGAATTGTATGACTTACATGTAGACAAGCGTGATGTAGTCCTGAGTGTTCCGGACAAAGTGATTCTCGATGAGCCTCTCTGTCTCTGTGAGTGCCTGGTGCCCACAGCCGCAGAACAGGGCAATACCAGAGAAACAGAGCAGTGTGGCGATCAGGGAGCAGTATGGCACCCCACCCAAACAGCGCATGCAGCAGTCATACAAACCTGTTTGTCAAGACACCAGGCAGTGAAAGTCAGGACACAATTTTTAGCTGATGTTGTATGGCAAACAACACAGGGGACGCACTCTGAACTCAGTGTATACACAGTAGAACTGATGTCTTGTAAAGAATATTTCCACTTAGTTAATATAGACATTAAAAAATAAAATTGCCACACGTAACAGCTGTCAGAAAAATGAGAGGCTCTTTGGCTTTTCCTGCACCTGGTCACAGTAATGTGGGATTTTATCAAAGATCTTATATTTCAGGCGAGAGGACTCACTCGCCTGATCTTTTTTAGGGGAGAGCAAATACTGTTAAAAAAAAAACTACAGGGCAATTTAGAGGCAGATGACCTAAAATCATCAGGAACTCGCCTACTAAATGCGAGTTTTATGTGCCTTTATTGATGTCCAATGCTGTTGGCCACGGTGCTCATGGACTTTCCCTCAGACAGTGGAAAAAATGTATGGGTGCTTGTGAACTGTACATGTGTCATAAAAAACCAGACAGTAACAAAAACACAGAGAAATTAACATGTGTTCTTTTTACATTTAACCTTACTATTTTTGGATCTAATTTAAAACGTTGGAGACTACCGTACCACACACCAATTGTAGTTTTTAATACAATTTTGCGGATTTCTGTAAGTGGTTCCGCTTACCTCGTTTTCTGCCCGGGCAATTGTCGCATGGGACGGGACCGTCTCCAACCAAGACGTCAAATTCTATGTTGGCTGTCGATTTTTTCAGCCGAGCGTGGTTCGAATCAGTCCTCAGTGGATCCAAGGCTGATGGTCTCGTCTCCCGCAGAGTTCGGCCTGGTTCCCGGGTCAAAACGGCACCAATTATAAGCTATTATTTCTGTGTAGCTTCTTCCGGTTCTTTCAAACCAGGAACTCTCAATGAGACGAAAGAGACTGCTTTAGATTTTATAAAAAATAACCGTGCTGGTTTATTCAGAGGATCACAGGTAAAATTCACAGGACACGTCCAGAGCTCTCTCACCCCTCTGCCTGCAGGCAGCAGAAAAGCTGAAGATGTCTGGACCCAACAACCTATATAATATTAATCATTTTTGGGCTAGCCCATGCTACAAGGGGCGTCAAACCGTGACGCCACCCGATAAGCAAGCTTTGCAGCTGCTCTATCGTTTAGCCAAAACATGAGGAAAAGTCAAGGTGCGTGACTGTTGTTTTCGTGGTGTGTATCTAAACAATTGGACATAACCTTACACATTAAGACAAATATTAAGACTAGCATTACAGTTGACCCTAAAAGCTCTTTTCCTGTAACCTTGGCGTGCCTGCAGTCCTCACTGCAGGCTGAATAGTTACAGCAAAGCTAGTCACCCTGTCTGCACTAAACATTTCTAGACAACAGATCTCTAATCCATATCTATCTAACTAAGAAATAACCTAACAGTCTCTAAATGGTTTGGCCCCCCTTTATCTTACAGAATTGTTGCATCCCTATAGCCCCTCTTGGTGCCTCAGATCAGCTGATCTTGGAGACACGAGGGCTAGGCGGAGACTTAGGGGGACAAAGCCTTCTCTGTGGGGGCTCCTAAGTTGTGGAATGCATTGCCCCTGTACATTAGACAGGCCCCCCTTGTTGTTCACTTTTAAAACTTATTTGAAGACTCATCTGTATTGTTTGGCATTCGAATCAGTATGAGCCTCTGTCTTGTTGAGCCTTTGTTTTATGATGGATGGTTGTTTTAAGTGTGATGTTGTTTTATTGTTGCTTGTTTTATTTTGTTTTAATAAGTTTTCTGGATATTGTGTTAAGCACTTTGGTCAGCTCTGGCTGTGTTAAATGTGCTATATAAATAAAGCTGATGATGATGATGAAAATAAAATCTTACTTAACTCCAGTGGTGGACATACAAAAAGTTGTGGATGTATTTGGTTGTTTTGAGATATCCCACTGATCTTTCTGCCTCCACCCTGATACAGTGAAAGTGATCTTTGTCTGAAACTAAGGTTGCCACTAAATAATAGTTTTAATATTTAAGATAGTATGTTCATGGGTAAAATGTAAAAAAAGCAATTAAATGTCTCAGAGCAAAAGGTGACATCTTCATAAATCTTGTTTTGTCAGGACAACAGTCCCAACCCAAAAGACATTTTGTAAAACAGAAAAAAAAAAAAATCAACAAACAAACTGGAAAAGCTTAGAATCTTGACATATTTTAAACAAAATGTGTTTATCATAATTGCTTGTAATTAATTTTCTTTG